ACCCTGGATCTAGGCCTGATGTGATGGAACCTGTCGGGGTAGCAGTGCCATCAGCTGTGGACAGGGCAAGCCAGGTGTGCCTCGGTGGTTAGCCGGACATGGAGACGAACGGACCCACGGGTTCACTGTAACCACTATTAATATATCCATCTACTTAGCCGAATCCAGGAGTTTCATGAGTTAGTTAAGCTATATCTTGGGCTCGAGACTGGTCCTTGGGAGGCTAGTTTCTTCATAGCTGGAGAGACGGCCGGGAAGAGTGACATGACCATCTCGCCAATGCATCTCTTTGCAGTGAGTATTGACTGTAGTGACTACATCCCGCGACATGTAGTTATTTTCCAATTGTTTGAGCGTGTTTGCAGTGCGTGCTTTTACTTCATCTCTTAAGCCTTCGTGAGCAACGGACAAGCCACTGCAACAGTTACTTCGTACCGAGAGGAATGGAAGTGACGAGAAAGCAATCCTTGATATATTAGTCATCCACATCGCCTGCGGTTCGCTCACACTTTATCTGGGTTCCCGCGAGATTCTCGGCCTCTTAGTCCCGTGGGCCCAATATACTTAAACTGCGCTGAGTAATAACCTACTTTTGCCGTCACGCAATTTTGGCGGCCATCGTCAATCAACGACGTCATTTACGCAGACAACTTCTGCGTCATTCAGTGATGGCTATGGATGCGATTATAAAAGGGGCCTGTATTCTTCAGGCGCTTGAGATGCTGCTTGCTATCTCAACATAATGTCCTACAGGTCTGATAATACACAAATATCATGACTAGCATTATATCCAATATGCTGCAAATTCTATACCCCTATTGCTGCTCGCTATCCGGGTTGATATCGAATATGGACTGGGAAAAGATAGTATTAGTACTCGCTACGTCTTGGGTCACTCTTCGGCTCCTTGGCATCGGCCTCAATTTCGAACAGCTGTTCGACCTCCTGGGAATGGACTGCATATCCGATAGAATTCGTGCAGTAAAAGGATGGTTCCTTCTCCCAGAAAGTCGTGAGCAGCTGAAGTGGGTTGAAGAAATGAATAAAGAACGCGCCTATTACATCCTTCGGACGCAAAAATTCCTAGCCATCAAAGATCTGACTATTGAGCATGCTATCCAGCGGAAGCTAGACGTTCTCAGCAATCTGTGGAACACAGGCCCCAAAGACTGGAAACATAAACTACTGGAAATACGATACTATGAGTGGATTGACAGGAACCAGGAATTTGCCGTACGCGTAAGGAAGCCGGAAGGGCCCTTTATACGGCAATATGAACGCCTACAGGAGAGGAAACATAAAGCTCTAGCTGCCAATCCAACTAAATACCTCTCGCAGCCCCATCTGGTTGAGGAATGCAAGACAAGAGGCGGGTGCTGTGCGAGAGCATGCCAATGCTGTCTGCGGCCTCGAGGCCTGTATCCCGACAAGACGGTTTTATACTCCCACTGTACGACTGGATGTGGGTGTTGTATTTGGAATCGGGGATTCGTCCATATCGTTCAATCAGATGCCAGGAAGATTCCTAACTTTGTGGACTCTAGAAATTGGGAATACCCTATCGAAGAAAAGCCGTGGGAAACTACAGTGCTCTGAAGCTTTGAGCAGCTCTTTTCTTCGCTCCTAGATATCCTTATCTCTCTAGATAACCCCTCGGATAGCCCCTTAATATGATTCCTTTAACTAAGTCTGGCCCCTAAGGCTAAAATCCATCTTTACCCAAGGGGTTACCAGAAGGGGAGAGTGAGGGATAGAGGCTTCATTGCCCCTTTTCCCATGCAGCTCTCCCCTTTTTTTTCCTTTTTTTCCTTCTTTTGCTTTTCTGTTACTTTTCTGTTCTTAGAGAAAGGCCTAAAGCTTCTTCAGAGCCGCATCGCACTTGCCTCATGGTGCTCTGAGCGGGGGAGGACACGAAGTCCCAAAAAGGAAATACCACGAGGGGTAGTCGCGCCTTCCCTTCTCGTGGCAGGAGAAGTCGTCCTCCGCGTCTTCTTCTTCTTCTCTTCTTCTCTTCTCTTCTTCTTCTCTTCTTCTCTCCCCCGACCAAGACGAAGACGACGAAGACGACTACGACCACGACCACGACAACGAAGACGAGGACGAGAAAGAAGAAGTAGAAGAAGAAGAAGAAGAAGAAGAAGAAGAAGAAGAAGAAATGGCATTAACCACAGACGCCGCCGCCGCCAACCCGACAATTTCTTTGGCGGAAGCCATTGTTGCTGTGAGCTCGCAGTTTAACATATGGTCATTCTCCTTGCTGCTGGTGGTGATCTCACTCTGTTTTGGGAGGCTCGCTGAGATCCCTGTCAGGTAACTATTAACTTCTCCCTAAGATATTGTACCTCCATACTAACACTTATCTAGCTGGTTGAGGAAACCCTCCCAGCTGACAGGGAACAAGGCGGGCCTCCCAGCCGCGCAGCCACGGCCCCCTCCCTATACCGATCGTCCCCCTCGGCTCTAAGGGCCAACGCAGGAGCCCTCCGGGGCAAGAACGGCGTAGTAAGTAAAAATATTTACTTCTCTAATTGCTGGAGAAGTATAGAATTTAAGGGGAAGATATTATACTAAGAATGCCAACTTTTAGGAATTTTTTTTTCTTTTTCTTTCTTTTTTTTTTCTCTTTTCTTCCTTCTTTCTTTCCTTTCTTCTCTCTTATTTTAATTATTTTAATTTAATTTATTTTTTAATTTCTTCATTCATTATTCTATATATATAGGTATGTTGGTATGTGCTAGTTACTGGATCTCGGAGTTACCCCTGCTAGCCGCTCGATCTTAGCGCCTCGCTTGGCTTGTTTACATTTCTCCCCAACCTTGATAACTAAACACTGATACGTAGATACAGAACACTGAAAACACCGCAACCGCGACCATCTAACACCGTCGAAGCCGTCTGATCTCATCCAGCCAGTCTTTCTGTCTCCCCTCTTGTTGTTTGGCCGTCGATGCTCATGCATGTTGCCGTGAGTCCGCCTTTCTGCCCGACCCCCCGGCCCGTCTCAGCGTAACGAGTTAGTAACACGACACTGCATGACGGAGGTCAAACATCCTGGCCGCCAGCAGGCCTTGACCGTTATTCTTCTTTTCTAACACTTGATAGCTCGCCATCTCCCATCAAGGAGTCGCTCTCTCGCCCTCTCGCTCTCTGGACACTCCGTCAATCAGATCAAGGCATGCACAGCCCGTTTGTCCGCCATACCAACAAGTGGTATGTGTGTAAATAAACAAAAATCCGCCCGCCACCCACAGATTCACCACCACCACCACCGCCCACCACAGTCGACCTCTCGGCTGCTCTCTCCCACCCTCTCTCTCCCGAAGCCACAATATAATGGTACTGTTAACGTCAGATCTAACCTGCCGTATAGATAAATGCCCACTCCTCGTACCCCCCGTCGAACCCCCAACCGTGGGAGCGCGAGACCGGCCCAGTTTAAGGAGATTAAACCTCTCGATCTCGGTGAGGCCTTGGGGCCCCATGATTCAGCTACCGTGAGAGAAAAGGTTCGCAAGTGGCAGCAACTCGGTGGAGGGGCCGTGATAGCGCCAGATGTTGGGGCCGGCAGTGACGAGGACGAAAGCTCGTCAGGAGCCGCTAAGGTGAAGGAGCCAAAGCAAACACCAAATAAAAGCCCAGCGGCAAGCAAACGGCCTACTACGCCCAAGGACAAGACTACTCCAGAGCCTGAGCGGAAGACGAAGAGCCCTACCAAGACAAAGGTCACGCCGCGGACAACACCTCGGTCTACACCTAGAACTACACCTAAGAAACGAGTGGTCAGCGATGCCCACTGGCGACGGAATAGGTCTCCTCCTCCCAGCTCTAGTGCCCCCTCGTCTGCGCATGCTACCCCAACTAGACGTAAAGATGTGCTACAACGGTATGAGGAGGCCAAGGAAAAAGCAGCAAGGTCATCTGGCATCAAGGACAATGACGGAATTGCAGTCTATCCGGGGCCATTACGGGTTCCCGAAACTCTCAAGTCGACCTCTTCTGCGTGGAGTTCTGACGTAGGCTCCTCTGCTGGCGAAGGGACCCCAGACTACAGCGGCCACGAAAAGACTTCGCCCCAGAAACGTACGCCAAAGAGGACTCTGAGGCCGAACTATTGTGTCAACGATGACAGGCCTCGTCTAGGCTCACCTAGGAGGAAGATCCAATCTCCGGATATACCTCGAGCAAGCAGCCCACGGAAAAAATCTCTTTCGCCAAATCAGGCTGAATCTCCTCCAGAGCCAGCTCCTGCAAAGCCTGAACGAGCTGAACCGGTTCGAAGAAGTGAAATTAGGCCGCACAATCTGCTTTCGGGGAACATCATCTCTCAGGTCATAGATGAGTCTAAGAAGATGTTTGCGAGCATAAAACCCCCAGAGCCATCACCACCTCCCCAGCAACATCAGTCTCCTCCGGGACCGTCAGTGCCTCATGGATCTAAGGTCGAGGCCTGGTTATCATCTACAGCCAATGCTGATCCTTTTGTTGACGACAATACTTCAACCATCAGCGCGCCAGAGCCCTTGAGATCTTCGACTACCAGATCGTCCATCCCGCATAAAGAACACTCGGATAGTGAGTGTGAACACGAGAGCACGAAGAAACGTCCATCTCCTTCCTCAGACAGCAAAATACGGCCGGCCAAACCCGTTAGGGGAAAATACGACTATTCCGATGGAAGTGACAGTGACGAAACACATAGGGCCAAGTCCACTCCACGCAGAAGGGAGTCCAAGTCTGATATGTCGGTAGACAGTGTCACTGATTCCCAGCCTTCTACTTTAAACCGAGGAAAAGCATCTTCTAAATCGCGACGACACTTGAGCGCATCTACAGAGGCAGAGAGAATGTCTAAGCTGAGAGAGTCGGTCGAAGAAGCTCTGCAAGGGTCCAGCTTGGACAGGCCAATTTCTTCTGACGGATCTGAAGTCTCGGCAGTCGACCGTCCACCGCCTTTGATGCTAAAACGACCCTTCCCTAGTACTGGAGGCCATAGGCTCTCAACAATTGCATCTGTAGATACTTTAACTTCAAGCACCAATACCAGCACCACTGCCAGGGAGACATCAAGCCACCCCCTCACCCAGTCTGAACTGACCTCCCAGCTTGACGACGGGAACGATGATGCAGTCTCCGACTCCGAGAAGAGAGACAAATTTGACCCCAGCTCCTTACCAGGACCAACACAACCATTGAAGCGCCGACTAACCAAACATTCGGATCTCATGTCTGTCTTATCAATCCCTGGAGGCAGAAGCCGCAGCATACGGTCCGCGAGAAGCATCCGTACAAACAGGAGCCGTCTAGCCAATGCAACTGTGAGCGATATCATGCGGGAGCTCGCATCGGACGAAGTGAAGTATATGCGTGAATTGAGGACCCTGGTCGGCGGTGTTATTCCTGTGCTATTGACTTCAATCCTCTCTCGGGCGGATTCAGCTATTGCTGCCGGCCTGTTCCGACGTACAGCCGATCCAGCTGACCAGGAAAACTTCACTCGGCCCATTATAAACATGGGGGTTTCCCTGGAAAAACTCAAGGCGCTTCACAAACGGTTGCCACTGAACAACACAGACGCCCTCTTGTCGTGGGCCGTAAGTGCCCAAAAGGTGTATGCAGACTATTTGAGTGCCTGGAGACTCGGATTTCAGGATGTTATCGTTAACCTGGCACCCCCCGATCCAGAGGACCCCCTCAAGGCTGAAACCCAGAGCTTGTGCGCTGGTATGGCACAAGATGAAAATGGTGATGTGATAGATGGAGATGGGGAGAGGGTAGATGTTGCATTCTTACTGAAGAGACCCCTTGTCAGGTTGAAATATCTATCGAAGACTTTTAAAGGTCTAAACTACGTCCAGCCATCCCCCAAAGCAGGTGAAGTTGCAGAGACCTACCAGAAGCTAGTCACAGATGCTCGACGGAGAGCAAATGAAGAACGATCCAGACTTGAAGATGATGCTGCAGCGAGCATCGATGCATCCAGAGCTCGCGATATACATACTCTAGCCATTCTCAAGGATGTGGAGGTTAATCAGACTAGGAGGGTTCGTGCCCGCGACTTCTTTGACCTCTCCTTGCTACATTCCACAGGACAACAAATCGACTGCAGGGCCGAGTTACTACTCCGAGATAATGCACCTGGCGAAGCCCCTGGGGGTGATCTTTTTATTTGTGAGGTTGACGAGACGGACCGTTGGCTTCTGTTTCCCCCAATTGATTGTACCTGCATCTCAGCCAGGAACGGAGACGAACAGGGAGAAATCGTACTCATGGTTCGCGCATCTGCTGGAAATTCAACCGAATGGTACGAACTGTTGTCATTTATAACAGATGACGAGCAAATTGGTTTCGAATGGGTACAAATGATTGGCCTCAATCCTGTTCCGCCCAAGATAAATAGGTCTCTCAGCTTTGTTAATCGTGCAAAGGAGAGGAAGGAGAAACTGGCACAGGCACGTCAAGCCAGTCATAACGGTACCATTCCCATCCGCGATTACGACCCTTCTGAGGTTGATGTGCCCATTGGAGAGAAGGCTACTGTGGTTGGTGAAGATATTGGCCATAAAAAGGAATCCACCAGCAATAAACATGACACTGCTCCCCCAACGACACCCTCCCGCGGCCCAGGAGAGACCGTAGAATTAACAAGCAGCGTGTCACCATTAACACTAAAGAGGTCCAAAGCAAACCGGCGGTCGAAGTACGATTTTGCCTCACCTACCAGTCCAGCTTCCTCTGACATTCAGTCACCCAATAGGGAGTCGTCCAATAGACCATCCTCACCTTTGCTCTCTAAAGAAGACCGCCGCGGTCGTGATAGGACTCCATCGCCAACCTATAGTAGCGGATCCAAACAAGCAAAACGCCCGATTGCATCTCTGGTGCAACCTCACGGGCGCCGCTCCCTATCACCTGTCCCATCATTGGAATTCCCCACAATTCCGAAGCTGAGAAAGAGCTCGAAGGATTCGCCTCCTACTTCACCGAAGAATGTCCCCCTTCCCGCTTCTCCAGTTCAAAAGCCAGAGGATAAGGTTGAACAAAGCACGCCTAGCAAGGGGAGGAAGTCTCTTGCTAACGGCGAAAAGCCCGCTAGGGCATCCAGCGACGACCAAGTGTCCAGCGAGGACGCACCTATACCACCGCCACATAGTACCCCTAGCCCGGTGTCATCAAAACAACTCAAGAGCCCTGTTATCAGCCCGCCAGCACCCCCCTATGCACGTCACCGACGGACCTCATCACCACTTAAGCACGAGTACGCTCCCTCAACAGCCTCAGAGTCTTCTGGGTCAGATACAAGCTCTATTCATCGAT